ACTCGAGTCCGATTAGGAACTTTTACCACATGCTGTGATTCTCGCCTAAAGTCCACGGCTGTGAAAAAAACATCCCCCTTTCAGTGCTGAATCTACCCTTCTTCAGGAGTGCCAAAATGCCGGCCTTAATCCTCCCATCATACTATTCTGTACATTCCAATATTTTTCCCCCCTCTTCCCAAACCATGAGGGGGCCCCACAGCGTGACCTGGCCCGGGCCTCATCTGATGTCATGGGAGTGTGGGAGGAACCCCAGGTGAAGACGGGGGGAGCACACAAGCGTCACACAGACGGCAGCCCGGGGCGCCAGCACCGAGTGCTCTCCCACCACCGTGAACGGGACGATGCGGTTCGGGAATGGGTGGAAAGATGGATGGATTACAGAGTGTGTGCTGTCGTGCCGTCGTGCTGTGTGCCTCTCGCACAAACAGAGCTCCAGAACTGTGCGCACATTCAGCACTTGGGGAGAAAGAGCACTGTATGCCATTTGTAATTTACTTTGAAATCTCCATCACTTCTTTTGAAAGGCAAGTTAAAACAAGTACAAGAATGCAGACATCTCTTAGAAAAATCTCAGTTTCACAAATATTGAAAGCTTTTACAAGACGCTGTCAGTGAACTACTGAGTTTGCTTCAGTTTTGTGAGAACCACGTTCACCACCCTTGCATTGTGGGCTGGACGATCCATGACAGAAAACACTTTCATGGTTGTCTGGGCGGTGAGGGACCCAAGTTCCCTCGCTCTGCTCCTGTGAGCCAGCAAGCCGAGCAGCTCCTGCCTGAACCTCCTGCTCACCATGCAGTACAAGAGGAAGTTGGTGGAGGAGTTTAGATTCTGCAGCATGTTGGCCAGGTCACTGATGACATTGATGGGCAGGCTGTAGTCGTCTCTGTTGAAGCCTTGGTAGTTGTAGGTGGTTCTTAAGATGCAATATGTCACAAACCGCGGGAGACTCAAGACTACAAAGGTGATGGACACTGTGCAGAGCAGTAAGATGGTTCTTCTGACCATGCTCTTGGCGCTGGCCCCTTTGATGGCTCGCCTCTCCTCCTTGGTGAACATCTTGCTGGCCCTCCGGAGGTGGTGTCCTATCAGAGTGTTAAAGACGATGACTAGGAGAATGGGGATTCCCCCAGAGAGGAAGGTGGTGATCCAGACCAGCACCGTGGAATACTCCGTGTTGTTATAGCTGCACCTGGGCAAGGTGACGTTCTCGCCGTCCCTGGTGAGGTTCGTCGGCTTGACGTCGTTGATCCAGTACACTGGGACCGATGCGACGTGGGAGAAGACGACGATCATCAGGGTGACGCAGACCGTGACCCTGCACCGAGAGAGGCGCCTCTTGAGGCCGGTGATCCTGAGCGCAAGGTAGCGCTCTACGGTGAAGCCCACCACGATCCACGAGGAGCTGTACAGGGAGCCGTGCTGCAGGTAGGTCAGGATCCTGCACCAGGGCTGGGCGTGCCAGAAGGGCTGCGCCTGTGCGAAGGTCAAGGTCAGGTCCAGCAGGATCACCCACACCAGGTAGCAGGAGTCCACGACGGCCAGCGAGCTCAGGTAGATGGCGGCCGTCTCGGACATGCCACACTTGCGAAACCTAATCACGTAGAAGGTGAAGAGGTTGGCTGTAGAGTAAAAAGCAGACATTTTGCTCAGCACTTGGTGAGTTAGGTGGGAGCTCCTGTTTTTTTTTTTTCACGTGGTATCGTTCCCTGCTAGATAAATGCTACAGTTATGCTGTAAATGTAGATGACAAAATGCATTTCTTTAGGTGAGTTATAGGATTTGTCCACTTTTGGCAGCATTTTTTTATATTCTGAAGAAGAGTAAAGGACTTTTTTTTTTGGCTAAATAAGGTTTGGGGACAAAGG